TTTGCAGCTACAGCAACTGAATGTTGACAAGTGGGTACATGCATGCAGGAATATTACCTCTAACACTCATAAAATCCTGCAGGTTCAGTATGTTTCTGGAGGTACTAGAATGCTAACCCCTGTGTCTGCATGTAAGGTCCCAAAGGACACCCCTGTCCCCACCCTGCCAATCTTTTGTCCTTATTTTTCAACTTGGAAGTCTTTTCAGTTATTTCAGTCCTTTTCTCTGTCAGGCATACCTTGGAATGATTCTGAGTATTTTCTCAGCCAGGAAGAGATAATGGACGGCTTCAAATGCATAGATGAGTGTGCACGCAAACAGATGTATCCTATCACCTTTTCTACAGTGAAGTCTCAGAAGAATTCCTAGACTTCCCCCAGAAGACCCCAAAATCTAAATCCAGAATTAGCGCATCCATTTTTGCCATTAAACCTCAAAACCTGCTGCATTACCAGTTTTGATGCCTTTACTGATTATATTAACTGTTCTGAGCTTACCTTTGGTGTGGCTGTGCTGCTTGTGGCAAGTTTTTTTGATCCCTAGAAAGATATGTCAGTATAAAGAAAAAAGCATGCTAAGCTTCTAGTAAACTAGTGCATATTTTTTTCCCTTTTTGTGAGCCTTCATAGTGAAATGATACATCTGGGTGCAGATGAAGCCTCTGTGCCATGTAGCTGCATGGTTCAGCCTGTCCTCTAGAGACATCTGGGACAGAGGGAGCCCCAGCTGAAGCCAAGTGCAAAGGTCAGTTCAGTTTCGCCTTTGAAGGTGCAGAGGCAGGAACAACTCTCCCTTTCTTTCTAGGTAAATCTTCAAACTGGTCCTGCAGTGATTACTACCAGTTTAAAATATTGTGGATTTTTTTTTAACCTCACGATAATGTAAGTTTACCTATGATCAGCAGAGAACTTGGAGCCGGTTACAGTGGTTCTGTTCCTTATGCACGTGGACCTCACCCTTGTGCTGAAGAAGACAAACAGATAAATTTTCTAGCATATTCCTCCCTACCTGCAGGTGCTTCTGTGCTTCTCTGAACACCATCCCTTTGAGTTAAAATCCTTTGGAAAGGTGTGTGTTTTGCTATGGGAAAGGTGTGTCTTTTGCTGTGATGAAGTCCAGAACAGCAGTTCTAGCGTACATTACTGTGACTTAACATTTTCCCTCTGCATCCCCTGTATGTTGTCCAGAAAACTCTTTAAACCAGTTTGGGGTCATCGAGTTGCTTTGGACTCCCCAGGTCTGCCCAGAGCCTGAGCTGTAACAAGGCATCTTTCTTCCAGTTTGGGAATTACACAGAGGTCTCTCTCCATATAACTTTAACACATGATCTAGTAGTGTTAACAGCTTGATTCAATCATTAACAAGAATTGCAAAAAGACAAGCAAACTACCGCAAATGACAACATGCAGTTTGGCAGATGGTGAGAAAGGAACAGCTGTGTCATTGTATTTAAGGTGAGAGCCTGAGGCAAAGAAAACCTGAGTCCTTCTGAGGCAGGTGAGCCACACCTGGGAGTTGTTGCTGTTGATTTATTTAACTTGGTGCTGGGCCCCACTACACCTGAGGTAAGCTATTTCTGACTTCCACACTCTATATGCAGTCTGGTTTTCTGAGAAAAGCGATTTTGAATAAAGCTTGAAAATATTCCTTTCCCCAACATTTCTGGTAATGCAAACTGAACTAGCAGGTGAAGGTCTGTGTCTCAGGGAAATCTAGGGAAGCGTGAACTATACAAGGACTTGGATGAAAACTTGTTTTAAGCCAGTAGCTCAAGTAAAAGGACCTTTTAACTGAAAGGTTAAAAAGAAACTAAAAAAGCTGTTAATCATGCTCTGCAGGAAAACTGTAGATTAGATTCTCAGGAATCTGATTCCAGCTCACAGACTTTTATGGGACTTTCAGCCCAGAGAGAGAGGAAGATAGATGTTTGCTTTTTGTGTACAGGCTTCTCAGTGTGGGCCAGCTCAGTGGGCAGTGGAGTTTGTCTCTAAAAAGCCAGCAGGATTCCCTCATAGCAGGAAAAGAATATTTTGCTGCATTATTTGAGTGAAATTGCCCTCTCCTTTTCTTAGAGTAGGCGGCTGATGGAAGGGTGCTTCCATACTGTGCCCTCCCCTCTCAGTATTACTGACTGCTCTCATACATGCTCTCAGGCCAGGTGTTGTGGACAGATTCTTGCAGATCTTTCTCACTCTCTCTCATTTGTCTGCTCCTCTTACCCTTTGCATTTCTGCAAGTGATGTTGATAGGGGCAGGACAGACAACAGGGCAGCCTGCCTCATCTGCAAATGCATCTGTTTACATACTCCTCATCTGGCCTATATTGAGGGGATTTTTTATTCATGGAAGTGAAAAGTATCCTTTTTTATTCTGCTCTTTGCTGACTTTACTCACTCATTTTACATCTGACCAACACAGTTACACTCAAGACTCTGATCTTGCTAGAGATGTAATGCCTTCAAACCAGAAAGCACTGTCAGCATCTTGCTGAATTCCAGCTTTCCAAAAAATGGCAGAGTTAGTGAGGGCTTAAAAATATCTTCGCTCCCTTGAAGAGAATGGAGACTTGAAAACTAAATAGAATAGAATCACTCCTTAATGCACTCACTGGTACCTACCTATAATGCTATCAAATTAACTCAGCCTGGAGCACAGATAGAGATAGAGCTTGGTAGCACCCAATTTTTATCAGTCTGCTTATTTTAGGCAAGCCCAGTGCTGGTCTGAGCTGCCATAGCCTCTAGTTCCTGTAACCATATGGATAACGGAAAGATATTTCACACATGTCAATGAGATACAGATGTTCTATCAAATTGTGTTAGAACTTTCTTACATTTCAGAGGTGAAAAAAAGGGAGGCTTTGGTGGGAAAAAATATTTCAAACATTTTGCTGGGATCTGTTGATTCTCTGGGATCAGATAGGATGATCAAATAGTGTTTGTGCTTTCTGGGGAAATGAAGGAGGCCCAGTAACCTACCATTTCCCTTGCCCTGTTATTCTGGGAGAATCCTCTCTTTTGGAAACACTGCATCTGTTACATCTAGCCATACTAAGTGCCCTGTTAATTTTTGTTTCTCATATAAGTACTCTTCTTCTTTGTGCTATATGGAATAAAACTAAAATAGGTTAATCAGTAACTAATTATTCCAGCAGAAGCTGAACAGTCTCTCATGTGTTCCCAGCTGTAAGTAATCTAAAATGTGTCTTTTGGTTTTATGTAGGTACTGATATATTCCATATTGCTGAGTCTTCCAGCAGCAAATGAAAAATATGTATCTGTTCCTCCTTTCCATTTTATATTTGTTTTTGAAAGCCACTGGCACCAGAAAGGTTGTATTTGGTCATAATCATTTCACAGAATATCAAACAGGCAACATGAACCTGATTCTCTCTGTCCCACACGGTGGGTCAAGGGAACCCAAAGACATCCCTGGTCGAGAGGCTGGCTGTTGGGATGCGAAGACATCCTCTTGTATTTTCTCTCATGAGTGTCCTCCTGGAAGTATTCAAAATTATAAGAAATGCAAAGTGTTTACCAACCAAGATAGGTATACTATAGAGGTGGCTCAGGCTCTTGCTGAAGAAATCAACAAAAGTACTGATGGCTTCTTCCCACATATCATTATAAACCACCTACAGAGGTTCAAGATGGATGCTAACAGGGAAAAGGAAGAAGCCTCCTTTGGAATTCCCCAAGCAGAACAGGCCTGGGAGGAGTATATGGGATTTTTGACGACTGCAAAATCACAGATGACAGGGTCCTGATTCTGGATATCCATGGACAAGCACATCCTGAACAGTGGATAGAACTAGGTTACACACTTTCAAAAACTTCCCTTAACTCAGGTTTTTTTTCCGCATCGTGTTCCTCAATTAGCCAGTCCTCTGGCCAGTCAGATAATATGTCCATTTCATTCTGTTAATAGTTCTGGTCAAGGCATCTTCTGAACAAACAAAAATATTGGCACTAAAAGGTACTAGAATGGTAATTCTGAGGACTTGTCCACATAGCACTAACAAAACAACTGCAAGGAGCTTTACTTGGTTTTTGCTTTTTCTGTTTCTGTAATTATGTTTAATTAATATAAAGTTAGCTCAGCTGAAAATAGTGCAGTTAAAAATGGCATGTTCTAGGATGCTGTGACCTAAATTCAGGTATCTTTAAATAGGGCTGTTTCTCGTTAGTTGAACCTAGCTCTCAGTCCTCCTTCTGTCTTATATTCACATGGTTAACAAGGAAATCTAAATGTTTCCGAAAGAAGACATTTGACTAGGATACTGTGGCATGTTTGCTACCTATGGAACATCCCATCAACTCTTTGCCTATCAAAGGACACCAAAGCTCCTGAAACATTAGAGAAAGGTTAGAGCAGTACCTCTGGAATACCATTTGTTCTTCAGAGAAGTCTGTATGGCTAGCAAAAGAAGAATTTTTGCAGATTTATGGCTCTGAATCTTTAAGCAGTTTATCATAGTAAGGTGCTTTTCCTTCTTAACCATCAAAAAGTGGAGTGAGTTGGGCTTTTCTGTGAGTATCTTGTTATAATCATACACTGGCTTTTTTAGAATTTTTTCTCTGCAGGAGGGACTGGAATAGAAGTAAAGATTTAATTTCTATATGTTCTACTTAATAATGAAATGGATTTAAATATAACAGAAAAAAAACCAGAGAAAAAAACTGAAATAAGGAACCTGCTAATCCACTTTCCTGAAGACAGATGCTATGTTTATTTGTCTTGATGCTATTCTCCACTGAAACCTGTCTCCATTGTCCATCCAGTGGGACTGGACATCTCAGCTTTGTTCCACTGAAGACCTTTAAAAAATAAATTGCAAAATTTCAAGAACTAATTAATATATTCAGGTGAACAGACCACTTTGATAGTGTTTTGTAACAGCATAGACAAAAAATTATTTGTTGTGCATGGAGCTCACAGAAGTCTGATCTCATTTTATAGTAAATCCATTGCAGTGCCATTGGCTTCAGTGTAGTGGCTCCTAACTTGCCAAGGCACAAGAACCCCGGTATTTTATTTTCTTCTTCTAGAAGAAAATGAAACATAGATTTCCAAGGCAGATTAATGGTCAGAAGAATAGCATATGTGCCGCCTGTTTGAACGTTGTGCTCCTGAGTTGTCTGTTTTCTGAGATACTCTGTAATGCTGCATGCACAAGCATTAAGTCATATATATTTGAATGCAGAGTACCCTATTCATCCCACCTAACCAGCCATCTAGATGTTAGGAGTCTCATCCAAGCTAGCTCTCTAGGTACCCTCTGTAGAATGAGATCAGCACCTCTGCTAGGGGTAATTCTTTCCATCCTATGATAGGTGGGATAGACAAGGCTGTGGACATTCTGGTCTTTCTCCATAGAAGGAACAACCTAGGAAGCCTTGCTGGACAGCTTGCAATAAATCAAATCAATAGTACCCATAAAATAGTATTAACTTACAACCACCAAAACTTTGTGCAGATAAGAATCAATAGGGTTTGGGCCAGCTAGAAGAGTCAAGTCTGAGCAAAAAGTTAATGACATAAGGTTGAACAGGAGAAGTAAATGTCTGGAATACTCACTTTGTGGCATGCTCACGTCAACTGGCTTCTCAAGCTTCCACCAAATGGAGAATGGAGTTGGATAGGTAGTAATGGAAACCATGTTAGCAAATTAAATCAAGAAGCAGACAGTTAACAATAGAATGTCAGAGTACATGATTGTAATAATTTACTAGTGCTAATGGCTTCTGCTGTGTGAATGCCACTGCAAAAGGTAGAAAAGAAAACGCTTGTGCTTACCTCATATATAGGAAGATACCCAAATACTGCACCAGCCTCTCTGTTTCCAGACTCAAAACTTTTCAAAGGTTGTCTATGGATCTGAAAAAAGGAAGCCAAAGTCAGTGCATTACTAGCTGAAGACAAAAGGTAATGAAAACATTACTTCTGTTATTGAATTGCATGGTAATGTTCATGTTATCTGAAGAAATGTATATCATTACTATGTAGAGAGATTATGGTTTATGCACAGGTTTTCTTTGTACCATGTAAAAGCTGCCTTGAACTTTTTTTTAAGTTAGGAGGGGATCATTCTTCTGCTATAGAAAATGCATAACCAGCAAAATTCCATCTTCCCAAGGGACACAAAGTCAAGTTAACAACGAAATGCTTCTTATCACCTAAGTGGAAGCTAGTTTTAAGCACTTAGTTCTCTCACCTATTAACACCTTGGATAAGCTCAATAAAAGAATCATTTTCAGGGTGTCAGGTTTGGTGAATGCATGCTATCACAGGACAGTGGAAGTCTAGCCAAGGGGTAACGGAGTAATAACTCCCTCCCAGACGACAGCTTCATCACAGGGCTGTCAGTCTGGCCAACATTCTGCTGGGCTTTGCAAATCACAAACAGCAGCCAGTTGCTAAAGAAGCAGATGAACAAGACATTTCTGCTGTTAACTGCTGAAAGCTTTGAATTTGCGAAAATACCTCAGGTACCTTGACAGTTCATCCACACTCACATGAATCCTGAGACTTGATACAGCCATGATTTCACCCTAGGAGGCCAATTAATGGTCCTCCAAAAAGGAAAAAAATGCACCTACAGCTTGAAATATTGCAAAGAACCCTTGTTTCCATTAAATTCGAAAACACAAATTTAATTTGAAATGGTACATTATACAGAGATTTTCTACTTATATTTTTTCATGGTCATACTAATACATTACTGAGTGTGCTGCAGTAGTAACAGTTTAAGAGATACCACATCTTCAACAATGTGAAACATTCCTAAAGGAATCTGTTCCAGTGTCTGTCTGCCAGTTCTAAGCATGACTCATGTGCATTAATTAGCAGGCATTACCCATTTCAGAAAGACAGGACAACTGAATTATGGTGAGCTAATCATATACTCTAGGTGTTTGCACAGCCACTGAAAGGCACACCTCTAGTCTGAAGTCCAAACTGAAGTCCGCTGGTTTGTTCTGCTCCAAGGCAAATGATAGGAAATCAAACCTTTTTCTCATCAAAAGCTCAGTCAGAAGGGGACTCCAGTGCTAATGTGAATCAAGTATCTTCTGCTATGAGACCTTCAGTGAGTCCTCTTTTCAAATGACTGGGTAAAACCCAAAGCAGAGCCCACCTCTACTGACTTGTCCCACAATGTACTCAACCACAGACTTTGCTACAGTAAAATTTAATGTTTTATACCCAGCATCAATATATTTTTCCCACTAAAACTGCTCTCTATTACACAGCGCTGTATCTACAGCTGTTGAACAGCAGGGGACCAATGATCAGCTGCTGTTACTTTGTAGTGCATGCTCCAATGGCACAAAAGCAGCTATACAGTTTCCCTGTGACTTAAACACAGACCACTCTGGAGATTGTGCAGCATCTGTGACTGGTATAACTGTGACTTAAGGGAACTCAACTTGTTGCTGCCTTGGGATGAAATGACAGAATGCCTCAAAACTGCATGCTTGACTACCTTTGCTTAGCAGCAATTAATCCACTAGCTTCAAATAGTCAAGCACCCAGATGAGATGAGAGCTGATCTTGTATCCTTGGCGTCCCAGCCAGCAAGGACAAGTGAGAAAGGAAGAACAGCCCTGCAGAGGACTTGGGGGTACTGGTGGAAGAAAAGCCGGACATGAGCTGACAATGTGTGCTTGCAGCCCAGAAAGCCAACTGTATCCTGGGCTGCATCAAAAGAAGTGGGGCCAGCAGGTTGAGGGAGGTGATTCTGCCCCTCTGCTCTGCGCTGGTGAGACCCCACCTGGAGTACTGCGTCCATCTCTGGGGTTCTCAGCACAGGAAAGACATGGACCTGTTGGAGTGGGTCCAGAGGAGGGCCACAAAAATGATCCGAGGGCTGCAGCACCTCTCCTATGAGGAAAGGCTGAGAGAGTTGGGGTTGTTCAGCCTGGAGAAAAGAAGGCTCCAGGGAGACCTTACTGCAGCCTTTCAGTACTTAAAGGGGCCTTATAAAAAAGATGGGGACAAACTTTTTAGTAGGGCCTGTACCGATAGGACAACGCGTAATGGTTTTAAACTAAAAGAGGGTAGATTTATACTAGATATAAGGAAGAAATTTTTTATGATGAGGGTGGTGAAACACTGGAAAAGGTTGCCCAGAGAGATGGTAGTTGCTTCATCCCTGGAAACATTCAAGATCAGATTGGACAGGGCTCTGAGCAACCTGATCTAGTTGAATATGTCCTAGATCATTGCAGGGAGGTTGGGCTAGATGACCTTTAAAGGTCCCTTCCAACCCAAATTATGCTATGAGTCTATGATTCTATGAACTGGCTGGCAAGACAGGGCAATAAACAGTGGAGAAGTGTGTTCCACTCACCTTGTCATCCTTTCACCCAAGGTGCACAGAGAAAAGTAGCTGGTCACATGGAGTAACGTTGTCTTTTACTGACTACTGTTTGGACCTTAGCTGGCTGCATTAGGATATCAGATTGTGGTACATAGGAGACTCACAGCACCACAAATTTTAGGAAAGGATGTTAAGAGTTCATACCCCTCACTAGCTGTTGGCCTCTAACCTTTGGGGAGGAATGGTTAGAAAGGTGTTAATGGAAGCTTTGTTAGCAAGTGGTCCTATCTTTTTCCTTTTCTACTACAACTGCAAGAGAAGGCGTGTTATATGTCCCCATGACTTTCAAGGGCTAAGCCAGGTAAAGATGGAGGAGCTCCACCATTATTAAATTAGAGTTGTAGAAAATATTTATAACGATATCTGAACTAACTCAGAACTCTCCTGGTTTTTGACTTTGTGGGAACCCTGAAAGAACTGTTGTGCATAACCAGGAATTCACTGTTGTACTAGTATTTTCAAACTTCCTTCAAGTAAACTTAAGATATTTAGGATTCCTTTTGGAGTATGTGAAAATTCTAGGGTTTTTTTAATGCTGTTAAACCAAACAAGTGAATCAGTGTGTGCTACCTTATAAATTGGAATTTGGAAGTGTGAAACAATGAGAATGAAAACCAGAGAGGTTTCCTTCATCCCTCTGTTTATGCATTTTTGTTCTAGCTTGTCCATTGAATGAAAGGATATGTAGGGTTATTTATGGCTAATTTCTGAATGAGAAATACAATTGCATTTCCTGTATGTTGCACAGAACAGAAACAAATTTGTCATATACATGAACTACCTTTGGAGAAGCCAGAGCTTTGAAAAACTTCAAGTCTTGAATTATGTCCACATGTTTAGGCTTTTTTAAAACTGAAGGTGATCTGGTCAGTGACTTCCACCTGTACACACAAGACAGAAAAAATCTGATGCTCCTATCAAAATGGCCATTTTGAATGCAACATTCTTAGCTGGCTCCAAAATAAAATTATTTTGAAGTATAAATTATTCCATATATCTTCAAAATATAATTTATATTAGGACCTTCATAGGTGTCATGAAGTGCTTCACTAACACTTTGTCAATCCAGATACTGGCTTGTCATCTCTAAGAGGTTGAAAATGTTAATCTAAAAAACATTAGTTACCACAACTGGGTGCTAACTTGCTGTCTGATAATGGCTTTTCAGCATTTCTGCCAGTCCTGACTACAATTTCTGTATGCTACTTTCCTAACAAAGAAGGTTTCTTCTCCTCATATATCTGGTTTCCAAAGTTAATCACAAGAAGAAATGACCTAGAGTAGAGCGTCTCTTAGTGTAGATTAACACAGTTTCATTTATAATCAGAAAAATTAAGTCAGATCACACAAGCTAAGGAATTATAAACTACAGAGGGAAACTGAGACTATTCTTCTATATGGGTCTATCTACCTGCCAACATTTTTCAATAGATTACCTGAGCCGCTTGTTTAAACTGTAAGCACCCATGTTATTCAGCTGGGTTTGTACCTTTTCAGATATAGGCACATTTGGAGACTATCTGTTAATAGCATTTATAACTTGATTTGTTAATTGAAATTCTGAAATATTATCTTAATGACTTATATGACAGCTATCCAATAAGCAAATTATAGTAGTATCATGATTTCGTTGTCCGAAACTGATGTATTGTATGACTTGATCAGTAAACTATGAGAAGTTCCATTGTAAAGCCCTACCCTAAGTTATACAATATGCTTTTGTTTAGTTAACAGATTGTCTGAGAACAGAAGTCTAGGTGATGTATTACTGACTTGATCAGTAAACCATGAGAAGTTGCTTAAGATCTGCCAAGAAGGAAATTAGGGGAAGGTAATTCTGGCAGGGGGAGATCGCGACCACCAAATTGTGAGCCCCCTTCCACAATTACACCCCAGACTTAAATTGAAGGACAACTGAGCATGCTTACTAATTTACATACTAGGCAAAGAGATTTTAACCAATTGTAACACTGCATATGTATTAGGGAATTAAATATGGTAATGAACATGTATAAATAGATGCTAACTTGATGATTCGGTGTGCTAGCTTTGTGGAAAGCCACCTAGCACCCAAACTTGTGCAACTTTGTGAATAAACAATGTCTTGTCTCAGTGTGTGAAGATTGGCTTATTGCATACGGGGTAAACGAGCCCTATTTGGGACAAAAACTTGACCCAAGAGAAGCTCCTGAATCCTGTAACAAACAAAACCTAGCATCCGTAAGTAACACAGCCTTTTGGCTGATGGTTGGTTAGCTATCCATTACACTGTTTGGTACAATTAATCCAGAGTAAAAAAGTTACTCTTGAGGTGACGGCACACAGAGTATAGAGAATGGTAAGACTGAACCTTTCTACTGCGCAGCATGTGGCTGCCTTTTTGTTTTTCAGTTCTCTGCACAGTTAAGCAGGCTTCTAATTTGCTTCCAGTCTGTTAAATTAATGTGTTTTAAATGTTTGATAGCCATTCTCCTTTACGGAAATATTTGAAAGGTCCTCAAAAAGTAGTCACAGTTTGACCAGGCATGTCATCTATGGAAACTTTCTTTAAGGTTAGCTGACTTAATTTTAGTATCTTCGATTCCAGAGGTTTCAAACTAGCTGCTGACTATTCAAAAGCACTACAGGGGTTAGTCTTGCAAACACAGCCAAGCACTTCTCTATGTTGATGAGTTACTGTTCTGACTTGAGTGGGACTACTCACATTAGTGAGAACTCTATGGAATAGCGAGTGTTAGCAAGATACTGACCTAAATGGGGTAACAGTAAAGCAAAGCACCTTAGAGATTTTCCATTGTCCCACAGTGCTTTGGTTAAAAGGCAGACTAAGAACACACATGGTATATGAAAACTTACCACTAAAGCATGCATGACTTTTTAAGCCCTGGAGCAATTTCTCCCAGATTGGACTGCTTTGTTTCTAAAGGCAATGTGCATGTTGCCTCTGAAGATTCTTGCTTCAGTATTTATGTTCATTTGATCAACCCACTAATTAATGAACCAGGGAGCTCCAGGACTAGAAATATGATTTAAGTTACAGGGTCAAGGCTCTCTGGCTTGACTTGTAACTAACCCATATCCCTTGAGAACTCTACCTAGAAGGGGAGAGGTCCTGTTGAACACACAACATTTATGCCAGTGTTAGAGTATCATGATCAGAGGTATGTGAATGTATCCATAACATCCCAGCAAATTTAAGAAGACCATTTTTTAAACTGAAAGATTAAATTGGGCTTATTCTTACAGAAAGATTTGGGCTTGGGTTGAAACTATTCACATCAAGCTTTTTCAATACATTTTTTTGGATCCCAGAAGTGCATCAGCTTGTGGAACTGGAAGGGAAACAGGCTGCTAACCTGAACAGTGTACATGACATACAGACTCTAATTAGGCTAAAATCTGAGACCATTATCTAGTCATCACTGTTATCGAATTCATATCACCTAATCCTGTCACCTAGTCATAACAATTAAGAGATGTATCCATGCTGTGTAAAAAAATTTCTAAAAAGGATTTTTCTAAATAACTCATAGGCAATACTAGTATTTTTTCTGACCTTCAGGTGAAAGGTGCTTTTAAAGTATATTTTCAGAACTGTTCCCCCAATCATACATATATGTAAATGTATGAGATCTTACTTGGCCCTGTCCAGCATTAGAGGATATTCAAACTTCTTCTTTTCCATATGCTTGCTTTCCTCTTTAATTATAGTAGGAAAGTCATTAACATCACAAGGCAAAATCAAACGACTGATATCTGATAATTCAAACTTCCTTGGTTGTCCGAAGTAACCAAGGTAGTATCCGTTCATGGCATGCCAGAGCCTACAGACATAGTAGAAGCAGTGACAAAGGACAGAAAGGAAAAATGGATACTTTTAGAAGTGAAACAAAAGTGACAAAATATGTGTCTACATTATCAAGTTCTGCAGCACTGTTCTAGAGTTCAGTATGCTAGTTATAAAAAAAAAAAAATCAATGAGGTTGAAGTTCACGGTTTATAATGTAAGTAACTTGAGAGTAAAAACTCAGAATTATGTTGTAAAAATCAGAAAACAAACAAACAGTTCATCTTTATAATTACGAAACTGAGGAGTAAAGGCACCAATATCCTGAAATGCTCCTACAGTAAGGTGCTGCCACCAGAGCAGGATGTACACAAAATTTCCTCATTTATTCCCCCCAAAAAACAAAAGAAACCCCTTCAAATGTACTTGTTAGCCAACAAGGAATTACAGGTGTCTATAAAGCATCTTCAGACTGCAATGGTTTAATTGCATAGGCATTGGTTAGATGCAATGCTTAGGACCCATGTCAATTTAACAAGTATTGAAAGCTAAAATAGGATTAGAACAGGAGGTCATTTCTAAAATGATGGGGCCATTACCTATGCATTCAAGGGCACCTTGCTGAAAGAAAATGACAGTCTGTAAAAGGTCTGACTTCCTGAGAAAACTGAGTGTGTTATGTTAAAAAATTAGTTCTTTCAGGTGCAGAACAGAAAATGCAGCCGGTGTTGTATTTTATTTAAGTTCTAGCCTATATACAAGTCCGGCAAGAAGAGGAACTTTGGAGACAGTTCAACTGATTTGCCATAGCAGTAAGAAGGATTAGTCATTTTTGTACCTGACTGAACCATCAATGGATGCTGTCACTACCACATTTTTCTCCTCTTCATGAAATAAGTCAACCACTTCATTAGTGTGTGCCCTCCAGCAGAGCTCCTCCTTTATTTGCTAAGGGAAAGAAGCAACATAACCACATTTCAGGCAGTTCTGTATGCCACCATGGTTGCTAGCTTTGTGGATTTATCAGCATGGCTTTCTGCAAATTAAGAGAGGTGAAAAAGTAATCCCTCCACAAAACAGCCTGCAAATGGCATGTGGTAGAAACACCACTCGGGGGACATGGATAAATTAATTCTTAACGTAGCCTCTTTGAGCACAATGGAATAATGCTAACAGCATCTCACTTATGTTTTTCTTGTTTTTCACAGCATCAAGTTATTATTTCAAGCAAAAGACATGACCTTTATGTGCAGGAAACATTTTTAGTCCCTCTAGAGCTCTGAATCCATTTTTCTGTTTGTCTTATTTTGGTGTACTGTTCATGTTAAGAAAATCTGTCAGATTTTTCCTTACTTTTTTACTATTTTGTGGATCTTCTAAGAATGAGGCAATGCTCCAGCACATAATGTGTCCCTCTGTTTAAGAAAGGAAAAAGCAAAACATCAATAAATTTCATTAGTACTACACATTCACTAGTTGCTACCATATGCTCTTGGTAAACACTGGGTAGAATGAAGCAGGGATTACAGATCAGTGAAAGTTATTTTAAGGTGAATGTCACTATCTCATTGTCAAGCACAGAGTAGAAAATAATGGACCATTCATTAATATGCAAAGAAATATGTATACTCTTTGTGAGCAATGTGTCATTAACTGGATAGGCTTAAAATGGAAAGAATGTAGCTTTTTCTTTAAATGACATGAGTAAAAAATAAGAGTCATCTTGTCAAGACAGTTATCTCTTGCACAAACTAGGTATGAGAGCTTCCTGAGGATTAAACTGTTTTTCAATCCTGGTAAAATGGACAAAGTTTGATTAATTGCATATGTAATGAAAGCTTAATGTTTTACAACCTTTTAGTACAGTCATGTGAAGCCAGAATCAAAGAATCATTTTCCTTATGACCCACAACTGCTCAGTTTCCTGCCTAGGATCCCTCTTTCCTGATGAAGTTGCCTCTTATCTCTCATTTCTACTACTAGACATAGGAATCTTTTGTGTATTTCCAGCCTTCATACAGGTCACATCACGTTTCTAGGACTGTACATTTGCAAGCAAGCAAGGAGGCTGACAGAGAAGTTGACCTTTTCCTAACAAGGAAAAATCTGTAATGGAACAAGAAATTGGTAGTAGCACTGCAGATAAGAGTGTGGAAAACATGAAAAGCAAATACACAGTGGCACAAACACAAAAGGACAAAGGGAGAGTATCAGATGAATAGGTAACAAGGTGGATGCTTTTCCACAACTAATTAAAATCCTGTTCGGTGCGTGCTGCCTTCCTGAACTCATAGACTGATCTGAATCAATGGGGAGTGGAAACTCCTCTTCATTTTCAGCATTAACGTCAAGCTACTGCTCAATTTTGAAACAAATGGGAAAAAACCCTTTGCTCCATCCAACTTCTGACAGCGTAAGAGCAGGAAACTGGCAGGAAACTGTTCTAATAGGTATTTTAGAAGAAAAGTGACACATTAAAGGACAAAAATCTCATATAGCAGATGCAGAAGAGGAAAATTGCCAGGGTGATTCTAAAGGTTTGGAGGAGAATCATACAGCAGATAAACTCTTAGACGTTCTGCCAAATGAAAGCCAGATTTGGTGTGAAATTAGAAGTCTAACAATAAGCTGCTAGCACAGACCAGAAGTGTTTTCTTTCATTATATAGCAGCGTAATGCTGAAGCCATTACTGTGCACTCCATATCAGCATCTGAATCATGGCTCTTGGTACCACCACAGCTGTAGTTTTTTATTTAGTTTTATTACCATGGATGTGAATTTTTTGCTTGTTTTTAGCAGTAATCTTTGCCCTTGGTGTTAATACAGTAATTCAGATGAAGAGTATATGCAGGGCTTGTGAATAAAGAAAATTGTAATGTCTTTTATGAAAACAATTCTACTGATAATGCTATTAATGTAATACTAAACTTTAATCTACCATCCTTTCATACCAGCAAATACCTTTTTCAATTCTTTAATTATAGCTTTGATGGAGAAAGTCTGGCAGCATTTGGACCTTCATTTCCGTATTTCTGGCACATTTAGAACATGATATTCTGTGGTCCTACGAACTGTCCTGAACATAATGACTAACAAGTTTACTCACCCTTACTTCCTGCCAAAAGGATTTTAGTGGAGATGTCTGTACATAGTGCTGTCAGAGGAACTGAAGGATATTTTGAAAATGGCAGAAGTTCTTTCACTAGGTTTCCCTAAAATAAATAAACAAACACATATTTCTCTTCATAATATCTACATGAAAAAAATAATAATCAATGCATCAGAAGTTGAGTGCCATTGATTTGATCTATTCAGCATTACTCAGCTCATATCTATTCAGACAGCAGCTAAAAAGTTAGTTCCCTAATCTATTGCACGACCAAGATAGCTGGGATGTATTCTTCTTCTGGTTGCCATCTCTTCTACACCAAAAGAACAAGCTATTTCACTCTTCAGGCAATTCACAGTCTATCTGTACCTACCCCTGCTTTACCACTTATCTCTCATTTGCTGTGGAATATCATCAGTATGCATCTCATTTGATACTGAAATATCGTTTCTTGCTGCAAATGGAGCCATGATGTCTCCTTCACCAACTTGTTATATTTTTCAAGCAAGCATTAGTAGACTTTCTCCCTTACTGTCTCTTCAGGTTTAAAAGGAGATGAGGGAGAAAGTCTTGCTGATAAGGAGAATCTTGACTGTGTCATCCATGTAACGACGATGACAGTCACATCAGTGATGACATCACCATCCTCTGAACTTGGAGATTCCTACAGCAATCTAACCACACTAATATATCAACCGTGAAGACAACAAAACCCAACAAAGCCCACACCTACTGTACTTGGGGGCATTTACCATCATATTCTATTTTTGCATAAAACATCTGCAAAGATACCTCACCATCTTTCTGAAAAATTCTTGCTATGACTTGCCCTTGCTGGGATTTCTGTTAAAGCCTTACATGGCTGACTTACTGTGATCAACGTCTGCTGCAATGACCAATATTACCAAGTCATATCATGGTACTACCCCTTCTTTCTGCATTTACTTTTTATCTCTTGTTTAGAGTAACATGTTTTCTGGAATAGAGTCTCATAGGTCTGAGGTGATATGACAACTAAGCCACTGGCATTCTGTTGTATGACTGGCTTTACAAGCTGGTTATAGCTGTAGACACTAAGTATTAGGGTACTATTCTCTCCTAATACATAACCCTGCTAGTGCTAGCTGGCTTGTGCAATGTTCCAGACATATTTCTCCTCTTCTGAGAGTAGGACACTCTGCCTTGCCTATCATCCTTTCTTAGAAGGTAAATTATGTGGATGAAAAATCAACTTCTAGAGTTTCACATAACTTTACAGTCAGGGTTTTTTTATAATTATTTCAAATCATGTTTCTTCATTTTCCACTTGCCATTACTCTCTGCTACAGTTATTAAAGCAGAACTAATTCATGTCCGTGGAAAAAACTATTAACCAAAAAATGCAATAAAACATCTGATGCTGCAATTGCTAGTTAAAAAACATGTTTTCAAAGATTAGTAGAATTACCTTCTCAGTGGTCCAGTCCCATCCCAAAGACATTCAGATAGCTACCTGAATACTCCATAGGCAGATACAGCCATTTTCATGAGCAGAAGCTAGTATTGGTGAGTGTCCTGCTACAGTTTTGGATAACTGTACATTCATCTTCAAGTACTGGGTATTCTTATTCCTAGTTGTGACTTCTGCTTTGGAACACAAATGATCATACATTTTCTCAACAATTTTTAGTACTGCTTTTGAATGTACAGAAATTACATAACACTAGAAAAAAAGTAAATTTGAAAATAAAGTCCCTCATCAAGATGGCATTACTCTGAAAACATTACAGATATGGATAAAAGCCAACTGAAAAGAAATTAGAATAATCTTCATGATCTTATCTAAACCAGCCAGAACTATTGCTCCATGATGCGGGAAACCTTATTTAGAGAACCTTTTTTGAGTTCCGGTTGTGGCTTCCCCAGAGCTGGAGATGCTGGGGGGTCCCATGAAGGTTCTCAGTGAAATGGACATTCAGTGGATGCAGGACCTAACATGAGTGTTTCCTCCATTGAGCAGCTACAAGGCTTAGGGATATTCTAGTTTTGGGGCATGTTTTCTTTGCAAAATAAATTCAGCTTAAATCCACATTTCAGATGATCAAATTTCTTGTTATTGGGAAAGTATGCTTTCCAGCAGAGGATATCTAAAGGATTCAGAAGAATCTAGAGGATTTGCTTCTTGCAAATTCACCGACTCCATTTGCATAGCTTTAACTCAAGCACTTGGCTCTCTCTTGTTTCTGTTCTTTTAAGTATATATACTACAAGGAAAATTATTCCTTCTAAAATTCCATCTTCTTTTGAAGATTTTATCTGTGAGGCCATTCACTCATACTTGACTCAAGATGGCTCTTGCTGTACCATTTCACTAATTCATTGCTCAAATATTTATGTGGAAGAGGAGTGTGTATAGCTGTCATTCCCAAATTCTGCAAGGTCTTCAGCATCATGTCTATTTAGAAAAATCAGCCATTAAGCCCTTGCATATCCTGCATCCTGGCCTGGCTTTTAGGAAATAACTGCAAATCAGGGGTTAGCAAAAGATGTTGAGGTGTGTCATCCACATACCAATGGTATCCCAAGTATTCTAAACACAGTTTGCCAGACAAACTGACAAACTCAGTTTCTCTGGTAATCTGGGCAGAACTTACGGATCAACAACAAAAAGAATGAAAAACATCTTTCTGTACCTGTTGTTATTTGAGTATTAATTTCATGACTTCTTACATTTTCCTAAAAGCAAGGAATAAAATGTAACAGAATTAGAAAATGGAACTTGGGTGTAACTACAGAACAGTTCTCTAGTTGAAATTATTTTAAGAACCTAATTTTTTTAATTGAAGCATTCAAATACTTCCCCAATTTCCATTCAATCTGGGACAGCATTAAGTGAAAACAAGGAACATTTAATCTGAAGAGAATCAAAATCACAGATGAAATTAACTGGAATTTAGGAACATGCTAAAGGTAAATTTGGTTGAATGGCACTAATTTCTTAGGACAAGCAAAGTCATTCACTTACAGTCATGTGAATGTAACCTAGATCTCTTACGTAGTTTAATTCAGAACATGCATATAGTCTTGTTACTGCCTTGAGCAGTAATCAGTATACTGGCCTCAAAAGTTGCCAAGTCATAAGGCAGGAAAAACTATGCAGCCATGGGTGTTTGAGGTATCTTAGAAGAGGAAAAGCCACTTCAATTTCATCCTACCTATTGATCTGTAAGGCTTGATGGGTCGGGCTTTTGGGGATCTTTTTAAGAGCTGCAAATGACTGTCTATTTTGTTATTCTAATGACTACATATCACAAGATATTGTATACTTTAGTTTGTGGATGACAGTTAGGCCTGTGTCTACTTGGGAATCTATGAAAGTTCCATGCTCTGCTGAAAGAATATGCTAGAAAGAATCTGAGACATAGCAGGATTTTCCTCTTTTTGCCTACTTGCTTTGTTGCTCTGCAGATATGGCATGTTCTTCTGGCATAAAAGGACAAAAAGTGTCACAAAAAGCATAATGCTGTTCTTAGAAAAAATACACAGATTGAGACAGTGGCATCTTGATAGTAAATTAAAAATGTTCTCATACTGTCATTTGAAAGCAATGTGTCCAAGCAAATGTGGCTGCCATGTAGATGTGGTTCCACTTTTATTCAAGTACTTCACGATTTGTCTATTTTACCTTCCCCTTTGAGTTCTTCTATACCCCTGTTTGAAAGTCAGAATTACTAGTGATAAACGTCTGACAAACACTTTGGTAGTCAGCTATTCCATGTATCACAGAGCTAACTGCCTAACAGAATGTATTCTTAATTTCCCACCTCATTCAGCTTAGGTGAACAAAGTTCATTTCTCTGTAATTCTTGATATTTAGTTTTGTGCATGGCTTTATGGAAGGATTTTAGTAAGCTACAGGATTTTAAAATGAAAACCAAAATGAAGACAGAAATTTGTTTTGAATGCTACCGAATCCATGAAGCCACTATACCTACCTTATGTAGGTTCAAAGAACTGCTCTTGTGCTCTGGAATGGCACTGATATCACTCCTCATAGTAGCAGTAGTAGAGGGCAGGGAACTAATTTTCCTGTGTGAAAGAAATTATTGGACATCACTGACATTCTTGAAGATAGTGTTTGCTATCTGGAAATCAACATCATCCAATGTAATAAAGCATAATAAAGTAGCATCTGCATTGATTAGACCGATTAGACTAAGGGTTGTTCGTGTTTCAGAAATTTATCCAAGTAACTAGGCAATATTTGCACATTACACAGCCAACCTCTCCTGTTAGGAGTTTTGAGCAAATTAAATCCATAGTAAATCAAAATTAACACTGGTGTTCATCCTCAAGAAGTAAAGAGGAAAAATTCAGTGCATGCCAATGGCTTGTTCCCTTTCATTTTCCACAGCGCTTTGCTCTGCAAATAGTTTTCAGTTAATTATAGAAACTTATTTTCAATCTGTTAAGATGATGATCAGAAATGGGATTCTGTGGAAGAAACTCAGAAAAAAAAATTTGGAGATGGTCTTCAATATTTTTGTTTCTGAGTCAAGAAAAGTTCTGACTGTACTAATGAGAGGTTCTGGCAACATAACGTACACCAGTGTCACAGCTGCTCTGTTTTTGAAAAGAGTATCTGAATAACTGGGATAATGTAAAACACTTATAGAAAGTATGCAGCTAGGGTAGCCCACTTAAATTTGGACAGGTGGCCATATCTTTGTAATTTTTCAGTGTTTGATTTTACAAACTTGCTACCATTCTTGAACACTGTGTGTGTATATATGATCACAGTCACATTCATCTAGGTACCTTCCCAGTATGTACAAAACATCCTAAGCGTATATGATTCAAAGATATTGTAGAATCCTCCTGCTTAAAGCATAATCAGAACTTTTCTTGATTTATAAAAAATAATGAGCATATTTGGCTAAAATTTTGTTCTCCATCCAACACTACCAACCTATGCCAGCTTCTAGTTTGGTTTAAGATGAAACTTGAGGCTGCACACTTCAATGAGTCTGCCTCTCTCTTTGTTTGCTGAGAGTATCTAATACCATGAGGATTGTATTTAAAATAAGGAAAAAGCCTGCTGCCACACAGAGTTGTCTCACAGAGATAAGAATCAAAGAAGGTGCAGTACACAGGAAAACTAATACCTGACAAAAGTTGACTTCTGTTGATTTCTTCAACAGAATTGAGACTTATGAGGTCATTTAGAGGACAAAAGGATCGATTAGAAGAGTGGTAAAAAAAACCCCATATAACATGGATTGATAAGCATTACACAAGTTTAAGGATGGGAAAGCTAATTAACTGTTTGAACTTGAATTGATTAAATGCAAATTAAATCTCAGTTTAAATCAGCTATCTTGGACAAACATTACATCAGTTTAGTACAGAAAAATTCCAAATGACTGTGCCTGTCCTGGGGGAAGATAAAATGCACACAGTTACCTGGAAGAGAAAGCACTATGTACAAGGAATAACATGGCATTGACTCCAGATGCTTGAAGAAGTGAAGCCTGGCTGTCTTCATTAATTTTACACCTGAAAATGAAGGTGTTTGTACAGGATGCATCAGGTTGCGTATTGTTCCCAGAAAAAGTTGCAGACTTTATTTGTAATCTAAAAAATTAAACATTTCATTTCCCAGAATGCATGTCACCTAAAAGTTTTAGACACAGTTTTTCAGAATAAGTTAATCAGTTATGATGGAATTATGTCAGTGAAGAGTAGGTACAGAATATGCCTGTGCCAGGAAAAACAGGAACCTGATGGAATGATGAACATATCATTCAGCCAAGTATTTTCTTGAGAATTAGTATTCAAGAGAAAAGTAAAGTAACTTCTGTTGAAGATAACTAGCTAAGTTAATGTTAGAAAAGTACCTTGTTCCTGACATTCAAACCAGTCATGTGAACCACAGGTAAAATACTCTACTTATAAAGCATTGACTTTCCTGTCTTCCATGCATCCACATGAATTGGCTTGTTCATATATGGGGAGGCAAAAGCAAAGGAAGAGACAGAGCCAGAACTGCAGTTAAGTTTGAATTATTTTCCATGGTATAGAAAAACTCAGCTCACTTTCTCACAAACATGCCAATTTTACACATGAAGGATGCTGTGAAACTATTGGGTAGAATAGTTAAATATTGACTTTGTATGGTCTTAAAAGGCATGTATTCCATCACCAACAGAGAAATACTGCTGTGCTGCTCCACTCAGTCTAAGCAGACATGTTGTCATTGTTCACTTTCCTGATGTAGCAGCTTAATCCACATGAGAACATCTGGAACCATCCTATGCTCACTTTTTGTCACTTTCTGTGAAAGATTCTGACTCCCAAACCTCCCAAATCACTTCAGATTTCTCTGTGTTGAATGTGACTTCTAGTCTTCTAGGTATAGACAATGATACTGATACTGATAATATAGAATATCTGCCATTATCATCTGAAGTAGCATTATTTCCAGATGTCCTCCCAAACTCAAAACTTCCAAAATAAGGATGTTTCCACAGCTCAGTAGCAGCCCCTAGTCAATGACAGAGTGACTTACATAGTGAGAGTTTACTTCAGTGGCAGTGCTGAGTTACATAAACACACTTATTAATTACATCATCCCTTCCCCAAATGACTCTCTCTTGATCACTTCTACCTGCAATATCAGGACTAGCTAGCAAAGTAATTTGAAGTGGGAGGGAGGTGGGCCCACATAAATTGCTACTTTAACTCCTCCTTGTCCATCACCATTTACAGTTGGGTATCTTAGAATTTCCAGTATGCCATTTGAAAAGTTTATATGAAATACTGGAGGTCAAAATGCCTCCATGAAAGCAATACTTACAGGCATCTCACAGAGGCAGATTCAAAATCCCACAGAATTATTGCACCGTTTGCACTTCCTGTAGCTATCAAACTGCATCCTTCTACTTTTAAAACATCAAAACACTTCATTTCCACAGAAGGTACAAAATTCTACAAAGAGCATTAAAAAAAAAATTGAGTAGGAGTAATGTGGACACTAGACAGTGAAATGTTCTAACTGTTAATTTAACAAGATGTCTAAATTGACAGTGTCTACAACAACTGCATATTCAATGCTATTCTAATGCTATTGTATTTGAGCTACACAGAAGCACCAGAAGGAAGCAGGGAGTGATAGTACTGGGAGACACCCTGCTGCAGAGGACAGTGGCCTCCATTTGCCAACCTGACCTGCTATCTACGGCATAGTTGCAATTAGAGCATGTAAAAACAGCTGTAAGAACTGAAGATTAATCAGAAGTAGGCATCTATGGAGATACTCTAATCAGGTTAAAGGAATAAGTCACGGAACAGAGATATAATGACCTTTCCAAAAGCATCATCCAGATCTGTTACAGAGTTAGTGAAATTATATGAAGCAAAACTTAAGCCTCGTGGGCTATTCAAGTTAAATTGGTCAACAATTGAAACACAAATTTGACATCTTATTTTACCAAAGCAATAAGGAGAGAAAATGGAATCACTTTAACACCCAGCTTAATCTTTATGTGCCGCTATTACTGAGGGTCAGTCTAGCTATAGTAATGAATGGCATTTCATTTCTAGAAGACTTTATACAAGAACCTCAACTTACTATTTTGTACAGGAGTGTGAAGCGTATGTTTAGAGCAGCTGTTTAATCATGGCGACAACCATACAGTGGATTATTAGGCAGATATAGCCCTTAGAAACAACCACTTTCTTACACGATTTATTTTAGACCTTCAGTGTACTGAAAAGTTTGGAATACTTGTTTGGTTCTTATCCTGTTGCTAAAATATGAAATCCTTGAGGGCAAAGGGAACATCTTACTTTTAAATCTTCTGTAAACGATGTGGACCTTTGAAGTGTTTCTCACCTCTGTATCATTTCTCAGAGTACTGGTGTCAGACAGCAGCTGAATATCCGGAAAAAAATCATGTGTTTGTAACGTGTCAGGCTTCAGTGACAGGGACACAACTGGATTCCTTCGTGGAAATGACACTGCTTCAGGAAGCACCCATTTGACATATAGATATGTTTGAACTGAATTACCCTATAAAAATAACTGACTTAATGAAAGAGGAAGGAAAGGATTTCTTTTTCATAAGAAAGTTATCAGCAAGTGTGTGTCAAAAGCTTGTTTTCTGTGCCAAACTGCAAAAACTATTACAGGTATCACCTAGCATATGCCTACACTGCAAACTGAAGCACCAGCCTACATGGCAAACTGAAGCGCCAGCCATATTCCAGCTCACTTTAAATTACCTGCTGTTATATTAGAAGCTGTCCAACTGTGGAGTTCAGAGCTTTTGACTGTATTCAGTTTAACTACCCCCTTAAAGCAAGTTGTCTCTTCAGTTACAGCTACTTACTTTATTACCATTGTTGGTCTCCAGTTCATATGTATCGTACCAGCAAAACTGGTGGTTGTGCCAGTTGTGTGAGAAGAACAAGCCATGGTTCAGCCATGGCCTTGAGTCATTGATTCCTCCCCATTGTGCCTAGAGGCTACTGGGAGTTACCTTGATAATTTTTCTGACTATGACAAATTCACTTCAGTATCTAGTTTCTGCTTTGATATTTCTGTCCATTTTGGGAAGTGTTACTGAAATCAGCTCCTTAGGTTTTCTGCTGTTTTCATAGGTGTCTTGAATTCCAGAAGGAAGCAATGATTAAGATTTTAGTAAATCTTATGATATTAAGTGTATCAAACAAGAAACACCTTGGGGGAAGGACTAAAAATTGAGAGATCTATAGTAGATTCCTGCAAAGGATGAACTGGTTTTGAGGTGCTACTCAAGTATACCTTGCTAACTACTATATTCAGAGCCTCTTAAAAAGCTAATAATAATAACAACCTGTATTTCTCATTATCACTGAAACATTTCTATAAAAAGTAGTTCTGCAATTACATGAAAGAGTATTAATGTACTTAGATTCATAAAGACTTGGAGGAGATTCAACTCCTCACCAGCCTGTTTGTCAATGGATACATTTACATTGCATGAATGATTTAAGAATTTCAGTAATAACACTGGGGGGCAATTGGTGTGATGTAGTATTTCAGAAAAATCTGAATATCAAAAGCAAACCCTGTATAAAACAGCTTTTTATTAGCAGGAGGCTCAAAAGTAATAAACTATTTACCAAGATGAGACCTTGTACGTTTTTTTTCCTAGATGTGCCATCTGTCTAGTAAAACTTATTACTTCGCCCCACAACATTTGTTCCCTTGCACACAGTGGATTTAAAGTTTCAGAAGGAGAATTTTGTCCCAAGTGAAACATTCCAATTTGAGGAAGAAAATTCTACAGAAACATGGTTTGTCTGAGCAACAAAGCTACAATTATTGTGAGCTCCAAGGGCATCCTGTTAATTTTAGCTGAAGGGAACATAATGTAGACTCTGAAAATAAAGCCAAGCAAGTCAATCTGATTTATTGCTGGTTTGTTTCTCTGTATTATTTCTTAAGCAGCCACTGTCTTAATCTAGTAATTTTAGACAAAAAAAAAATCCTTTAGCCAAAATCTTCTCCGATATTGAGGTTTTTTGCAGGGTAATACTATGGTCACCTACTCTCCATAGAGGGAAAATATACCAAGAGGGATATTAGGCTACAGTTGAAGAGCTTCAAAGTGATATAAATGTATAGGCCTGAGGCCTCTGAGGTTTGTGAAACTGAATTCTGAGTCATGGGAGCTTCCTATTAGTAAATATTAAATGGAGCCTCTACGGCATACAATGATGGGTCAGCCATATCTGAGTCTGAGGGCTCAGCTTGTGAACTGGAACAGTGATCTCTACAAAGGACAGGTATCCAGAACCCAAGAAGGTGATACTGTGTCTTCCACTGCCCAAGGAGCTCACTAAGGCTGAAAGGCAGCAGTGAAGGAAGAAAAGGTATAGCTGCCTCATGAGAACATGGCCCTAGGCCTGAGGTGCTGTTAAAAAGCAGGGCTCTGACCAGTGCAGTGGGGCTGAATACATAAACAGGATTTGCAGGAACAGTCCTAAACTAGTCTCAGCTGCTGATGAACTAGAAACTCTTTAAACAGGGTAAACACTGTCTATAATAACAACAGTAATATTTTAAAGCTTTTACCTTAAGGGATCTATAACTACTGAAACCTCAACCACAAACACAAAAGCAAATGCAAGGAATGAAATTATTAGAGTGCTGAAAACCAGCAATGGACTAATGAACATATTAACACTTAGACAGAAAGGCAGAAAGCTAATTTGATGACATGCAGAAAGTGTTCCTTGACAGTTTCTAAAAGTTTATCTTCTAATTAATGAAAAAGTCCTATTTTACCTCAAAAATTAGGAGCTACCAAATTAAATTAGAAAAAAATGGTGTATCTGAAAAACCTGAATGATTTTCATCTTCCCACTCTGCTCCAAAACAAGAAGTGCATGTTGACCCTCATTAGCCTTCAGATAAACTATCTTCAGCAGACGACACTCATCTTTGCAGTGCTGGGCCAAAGGCAAGGCTTTAACTTCCTGCCCACTTTCAAACTCCCAAATTTTCACTGTTCCTGCACACAGATGAGAAAGATATACAAAAGGGAATGAGTTTTCATCAATAACCTGTGCTTCAAAGACAGAAATTTGAACTGGATCAAACAGGGAAAGGACAGGAAAAAAGAAAATCCAATTGAAGGTTCAGAGCTAGGTCACTTGTCTTTCAAAAGCTGTAACAGTATGCATGTTTCTTAGGAAAGCACCCTTAGGGACACAAAACTTATCAGAAAACATCTTCACCACCAGCCCCACCATTTTTCCATCTTTTTTCCATGTCTGTTTTATGCTGCAGCCCAGGCTAAAAGACCACTGCCGATCTTACTTCTGTTTCTGGACTGACATCATCAGAGAGCAAGCAGAGTGTGGGCAATCAGGCAGGAGACTTCAGGTTCTGAGCTACAGCAAGGAGCAGAGGGACCTGGTTGCTGGACTTGTCCCACAGAGCTAGCAGGGAGAAGGACCTACAGCACTATCTTAAGTGAAGCAGTTATTACATACGACTTCACTTTTGTTAGACTTGATAGAATTCACCTTATATTGTGTTCTTAAGATCCGTAAAGGGTGCGGTCTCTGCTCCCAATTATAAACAAGAAACATTAGCCAGTATGCTGTGTGGAAAAGGCCATCTCCTCTTTATATAAGGCAGCTTTCATACATTTCATATATTTTAATACTTCAGGTGTGTACACTTGAACACAAGAAATGTGAGAAGAATGTGAGAAGAATTATTCAGTCATGTTAACAGATTACAAAATTATTAAAGTTTGCTGCAGAATTCAGTGTAGCACTTGTGTATTTGGAGACATCTTGTCACATTACCTAAAACTGATGCACCCCAAATAACACACATGAAGAATTCAGGAAACATACAGATATATATATTCTAGTGTTCAGTGCCTGCAGACATTATAAAATTGAGCTTAGATACTATAAAATTGAAAAACTACTGTTCTCCATCTGCAGCCATTTAGTTACAGATCTAGGTCTTAAGTCCTATGAGGAAACATCTTTTCAGACCAAGAGCTTTGAAGATAATCTTCCAGAGAGCAATAGGGTAGTAAAGTACCAGAGCCCAAGCAGCCAAAAATTACCTTACTATGAATCACCTATCAAATGAAACCCAACCAAGGCACCCCCCCGCCCTTTTCCCCAGACCGACAGCTGTGCATTCCTTCCTGTGCACACTTCCTCCCACCTTGGAAGAAAGCCAAAATTCATTCTTCTGTCATTGAGACAGTAAAGGCAAAGAGTTCTGTCTGCTCATGTAATATGTCATTTTAAATAAATGTAATAAAAATGTGGTAATTATTTAATTGCTTTACCATCACATGCCCCAGTAGCAAGATAAAAACCATTTATTTCAATGGCTGCACAGGTCACTTCAGTATTCAGCCCATGCGCATCTTCAATCTGATATATTTGATATCCTGTTTCTAGGTCCCAGACCTGGAAAAATAAGGTGGTAATTATTTGTACTATGTCCTCTAAAACTCATCACACAATGTGTTCTAGTATAACTGGAGAAAGACAAATACTCCAAGAGCAAATTTTCACATCCCGTGAAATAGGTCCTCTGTTACAATAGCACACTACCATGTTCTTTTACTGAAATACTAGTGTAATTTCCCTGAAAATGTCCCTCTCCCCAGAGAAGCCATTCTGGCAAGGGGAGGGTCTCTTTAGTATGCTATGAGAAAGACCCCTTTTAAATCAGAGAGACACTTGTTAAATATAATGAGTTTTTACAGTGCAAAAGGGAAGAAACCTAACAAAGAATGGTTTGAGCTATAATTTCTATGCTGAATATCAAAATGAGGCTTTTCATAAACATTTGGTCCAAAAATGTAGGAACAACTGTATCTGATCATTATCTAATCCTTTCGGGAACTCAAGCAATGAAGTACCAGTACAAAGTTTGGTCGCTGAATTGCTCAGATTCAACTGGATTTATGAAGTAGCCACTCATGTCATATGCACTGTCTGGATCTGATTTTCTGAAGCACCAAGTGCCCAAAACTATCTTGTAATTGTAATGGTGTTGTAGCCATCGTGGTCTAAGGAAGGCAGGGTTTATGGTGAGAAACATCTTTACCGATTGTATAAAATGAACAAACCTTTACACAAACAAGCCTTTCTCCACAGGAATGGCATGCATCACCAGCTGGCCCAATAAGAGGTGTTACCCCTCCCTACAAATCTTGCCCTCTAACCTCACCAACAGTTGATGAAAACTGTAGGTCCTTGGCCTCTGATGATAATTGTCACATTGTTAGTTACACCAGTAATGATTCATTTTATTCATCTGTGGGTTTTCTGACACTTGCATGGCAACCATTTTATAATGGTTCAAATACAAATGGAAAAGCTAATAGGGAAGTTTAATCTTTTCATTATATTTCAACACAAACAGAGCTGTGATAAAAAGTGATTAAATTGATCTCCATCACTTTATTTTTCTTGTTAACTGGCTATTATATTCAATGGTTCTCCCCCACCATATGACTTGAAATCCTTAAGGCTCAGAACAACATGTTCTAGGAAATTACTTGAATGAGAAAAGGATCTACAGAAGGTCAGCAAATTGGCTCCAGAACTGCTAGCAAAATAGAAGCAGATCAGAAAAAAGAATAAGAAGCAAAACAGGAGGATAAAAAGTCAGGTTTTATAGTTTAGGTACACTGTATGTGCCAATGAAACATTTCAATTTTAGTGAAGGAAACTTTTTATGTAAGAGCAGCATCTTTTACACAGTCCTATTTTTACAAAGTGACATTTCATGTTTTACACCAATCCATAGAATGTCTAAAGTACACATTTATAGTCTCCTAAGCTGACTCGGACTCAAGCACTTCCTAAACTTTAAAGAGAAGCTTATCAGATATGCCTTCTGAATTGAAGAATAATGTGTAATTGTGCTTGCATGAATTGTTGATTGGATGCACAGTTTGACATAATGACAGTTAAAATTTTTCTTTGTAGCTACTAAATAGCCAATGGACTTCCACTACTATGGCTGTACTTGCAAGAATCCATTGCAGGAGCAGGTGATGTATACCTGTTCAGCCAAAGGAAATAAAATTACAACTAAGTCCAGTACCTTTGAAGCTTTGCTCAATCCGCCAGGTGCTTGCAGTGCAATTATGTCAGTGCAGGTAAGGGAAGTAGTTATCTGAGAAAAGTAGTGCTGCTGAACTCAAATAGTTTATTCATCATGGCTACCACCTCCCTGGAGAATTTGAGTACAAAAATAGCCACAAAACCAACACTTTGAATAATAAACAGTAATCACTTATCTAATTGCCCAGTAACTAATTTGTAATAAAAAAGCTGAGACTTTTTCAGTTTAAATGGTGACAACTCACACTCACCTTCAGTATTGACTCAGAGCAGACAGTGAGAATCTGGTGAAAAGCCCTGTTGTAAACGAGAACATTGATGCTTTTCTCATGTGTCTGTGGCACCTGTCTCGTATCTTGTATCATATGAGTTAGGGGATAAATATCAATGACAGTTGAACCTGCACAGGGTGAGAGGAGTGAGAATATATACATTTGGTGTATAGTACCAGTTACTTTCTCTGGATATAAAAAGATTATATGTAAACCATAGGGTTCATTTGAGTTCTTCTGAAGAGGATAAAGAATATTGTCTGTTTCTTGAGAATATCTGTTCTCTAAAACAGAAAACATTCATACATGCTCCCCACAAACCACCAGTTAAACAATGTCTAAGTATTTACCTGCCTTAAACAACCACCTGCCCACCTTTGATGGGATTGATACCCTGACCCGAAATCATTAAGAGCCATAAATCCCCCAGCCCCGAGTGGGTTGGCATGGAATGGAATGAACCCAAATAAATAAAACTCTAATTGGCAGATATAGCACTAAAATAAATTCTGGTACCCGCTTTCTTACAGATAAAGCAATTCTATCTGCAGGCAATGATGATGTCTTTCCAGTACCTTCCTTTATACAGCACTGCAGGTCTGAATGGTGTTTTCCAGACACATTCCAGTGCTCTCGGATCAGAAGGGTTGCAAAGACAGAGAGGCAGATGGGGACACCAAGACAAAAGAAAGGACAAGGTTTTTACAATGCAGACTCACAAGCCAGACTACACATGCAGCCTCCTATTGCAGTCCCCGTATTACTACTGTTCTACCAGCAGAGGAGAGCAGTCAGCAGTGAGTATGCAGCAAAGGATGAAATTGCCTAATACTTGGCGTAAGTCCAGGCATAGAGGCCAGCAGCTTGGAAAAGGCACAGAAGGAAAGCTATGGCAATATTCAAATGAAGCATGAAGGTGAGCCGTGATTTATGGATGTTAGTGAACTCAAAACTGAAAATCTCCTCTGTAAAGCCAGGTACAGAGCAATGAGAATTAATTTGCCCACAACAGCCTCAGTCTCTTGCCCTTTTCAGGGGCAAGGACACATTCACTTAACCTTTTAATGGAATCATTAACAGAGTCCAGGACCAGATTTTTACAGATATTTAGGCACTGCTCCAATCAGTGTTTATAAGGGCGGTTACCTCATTTTGTCGAGGATTTATGTGTGTAAAATCCCTACATTACTAAGCTTTGACAATCTCACTAACTTAAATTTGAACTGAAGATTGTATCTGTATCCTTTAATGATTAAAAATCTTTAAAAAATAGACTGATTAATATTCTGGGCATTTTTTAAATCAGACCTAGAAGCTGAAGTTTCTTAAACTTTGCAGTGCTTACCAAATGCCTAAATATATACAACTATTTGTGTACTCTAGTCCAATGTATATATTTAGGCTTCTAAAACAAGTTTTTTGGCACAAAGATTCAGCAGAAACTACCAGGTCACTGAAAACAAAATGTTTCATTCATCTTCTCAGATTTGACAAGCTTTGCAAGCTTTGTGCCTTGTTCCTAACCCAGGGACAAACAAAGCTGTTTCCAAAGACAATGACCTTATTTGCCTGGTATGTCTCAGGCCTCTATAGCCCCAGAACAGGTTCAAAGCTGGTTTTTTTTAGTGACTATGTCTCCGGGGCAGACAAACCAGAGACTCTGCCTTAGATATAGAAGGCTAACATCCTTAGTGGCACCTGTGAAGCTCTGGTCCCTCGGAGGTTCCAAGCTCCCTGCTACAGAGTCGGGAAACAGAGCCCAGAAACCTTGGGATGAGTTCCCACAATATTTCATTCCTGATCAATTGGACAGTGCATCTGTTGATACCACAGATTGTGGAGCTCTCTGTAGCTACTGAGTTAAATAAGGTGTTTGAATACACTTGTGAGGGTTCCACAGAGACTATACTTTGCTGCTTTGATCTCCAAATGGGAGGAGAGTGCTAGAGGAATAGTTAGGCGAAGATCAGCAGCTTAGTAGCTTTCACAAAATGACAAGGATAAAGAACAATTTCTGTAGTTTATTTTTTCTGAGGAAGGCTCATCTTGCCTTCAGAGAAGCCTTTGTCATTTCCTCTGGTTCCTGCTAATTCCCATACTGCATATTTTCATGCATACTTCTATATTGAAGTTAGCACCATGTATAAGCAGACCCACTTTAAAATGGTCTTAATGTGCAAATACCCTTACCTCCCAGTATTCTGTACATCTCATATACCTTATTCCTGTACTCAACTTCAGTTACATGTAATCATAAAGGAAGTTGCATTCTAGGAGAAGGGGAATCTCACACATCAGCTGCAGTAACATACCAGTGATAAGTGTGCCATGATCATTGTCAAATACCATGGCAAAAGTATCCATCGCTCCAGGAATCCCTTGATTATCATGGAAGACCTGCAGCAGTGAAAGGGTCTGTATATCCCACACTCTAAAAATCTAGAGGGAGAGAGAGGGGAGAAAATCTAGTACTGTTATCATGATTTGATTTTCAACTTTTTGTTTCTACAACGGTAATATTATAGCCTCCAATGAAAATCACATTGTTAAGCATGGTACATCCCAAAATAAGCAAGACAAATATCAAAGATATGTTTATACCCATTTTACTAAGCATAAAATGAACAGAAAGGCTCAGTTTTGTAATCTTGACCTGACAAGTCGACAGTGGAACCAGATCTCCTGAGAATTGGTTCTACTCCTTAATGACAAGATTACTCCATTGTACCATACTTTTCAGTCACGTACAGATAAAAGCCAATAGTTTAAAACTTTGTATTTGAACTGGAATATCAAATGGTGTGCAACAGCACAAAGATAAATTTCAGAAGGTTCCAGATAAAGGAATTCCTGAAATCTTTGACTGACAGCAGATGTTGGAGCAAATCAGCATCAGGATCAGGACACACTGCAGAAGGATCATTTTTATGCATATATAGTTCTTGTGCTCTCCATAAGCAAATGCTGCTGATCACAGTCGGGGTACTATCCTGTAAGGAGCACTAGAGATATTAGACATATTTGTTTTCACTTTCAGTTTCAATGGGAAACACAGCACTTGATGTTTAAAACTCTGGAATTACTCATCAATAATTATATGTTAGCAGCACTTATTCATCCTACCTGATCAAGAACTGTGTTGAACTTACTGCTATCCCATGCAATCTGCTCTTAAACTTGCAAGAAATCATGATTTAATTTCTCAGATCCCATGGCTTTTAGTGTGGTGTATTTCCCTGCAAGATAATCTTACTATGCTCTCAAGTTATTCTGTCATCACATCTGCCTTCAATCCATATTCAGCTGCCAAAACTGTGGTGAGTTTTATATAGGCATTTGTGCAAATTATTTGTATTCATTCAATTGTGTTATTAAAAGGTAGGGCTGTATTTTCAATTGGGATTTTAACACAAAGACACATGTCAGTACAATGCTCCCATCAATACTGGGAGTGTTGTGGGCGTTAACAAAAGTTATTGAATCTTTGGATTAAATGCTCTATAAAATGTAAGTCCATAAAAAACATTGGCACAAACCCAAGAAATACTCAGCTGAATTTGATAACTAAGCTGCGTCTCAGACAGAACTATCACATGAATAATTCTGCTTCCTGTACTACAGTTCCTGGAGGTCGTCTTCTCTCAGCTATTCCTTATTCTTAACTTTATCACTCAGTTGAGGTCTCAGTGGCTTTTCTTAGGTGATCTTGATGCAGTTAGTCAAATTCTAACTTCACAGTCTTGTCCAGGAAGCATGAAGCAGCCAGCCTGCCCTGACTGGGGCTGGGCTGCTGTTTCTCCAAAAGAGCAATAATTCTGGGAGATCTGATGAGTTAAAAAAAAAAATCCTAGGGAAATCCACTGCCATTTCTTTGAGTCATCCCAGGATCTGCTGTATGGTAGCAAACATTACAGTAAAGGTAGGCCCAAGTCCAAAGTCTGTAGCAGACAGATTGGCTGCAGATTCTTGCATTATATTCCTGAAAACCTACTTAATTCACCCACAGGTAAAAGCATCTGTGTTGGTACAATAGCTTGCCTATTGTGGAAAGACGGTCCAGTAAGCCCCTCGAAACCTGCCTGAGCATCTGTCCATAACAGATGGGCGTTGTAACAGAAAAAGAAGCAAGTGGAATTGGGACAGCAAGACTGGAAGCTCATTTTGAAACTACTTGTTTTTCTTCCTGACTGATATATTAGATAGCACAATGACTGGCACCTTAGAAAAACTTAAAAGAGATTAGACAGAACACAGAATGTAGAGCTCTGTTCAGCACTTTCATATAATGTCATAAAAGTTTTAATGACATAAGCTACTTGCTAAGGCCATTAATAAGTTATGCCCCAGGAAATGACTTACAGCCACTCTTGTACCAGTGTGCTAGAAACTACTATCTGATGCATAGCTGAAATTCAGCACAGTCGGGGTGCTACTGAACTAGAAATGCTGGTGACTGGTAGAAGAAAGATGGATTAAATTATCATTAAAGACATTTGATTTGCAAAGTAATTGCTTTTAGCTCATCTTGCCTAACACCAAGCTAGAAATCTGACAGGAAGTACTCTGAGGAAAAAACAAGAACATGACATCTGTCAGCCTCATAAAGAAAACAGCTACAATCAAATTCACTGCTGAAAACTCAGAAAATTCAGTTCCCTAATGTTACTCACCTTTCAATACAAAGATCTTTGAAAACCTGAAACAGCCCTGAGAAATACTTCATTCGCAAATTTGGGATTAGATAATTTTACTTCTGCAGAGTACCGCTTGTATCTGTCCACTTGATCACCTAAAAGCTTAAACTTTTTTTTTTTAATATAAGTACTTCAGGAAAAAATTTAATTTTACACCTATAAACAGAGGAAGTAAGTGGTTTCCCAAAAGACACACAGCAAGTCATAGTCTGAAACATAACCCACAAGTTTTGACTATTCAGCTTTCCTCACCATAGCCTATTCCCCTGTTCATTTTGAAATCTATTTATTCTTCTGTTGAACAGAGCATGTGCCCATTATAATTCATAGGCAGTATGTTGTGTCCTTAAAAATGCTTTTGATAATGAGGAAGACTTCACTTGTGCATATGTTCATGTTATGAAAAGTTCATTGCAATTGCCAGGAATGAGTTCTTCCAAAGACACACACTATACAATTAGGAATGTATGTTTGTTACTCTGGATATTATAAAATGTTAAAGTATCTATCTTTTTTCACTTAAAAGAGGATCTCAACATAGAAAAAACACCGTTGCTAAATAAATAAAAGCCAAATAGAAGACTGTTCACTGTTCACAAAATAAAAATAAGGGAGATGGTAATGGATGGTAGTCATTCAGGCTGATACACAGATTTTGAGGTTATTGGAATTTCCATCAGTAACCTGATTTTTAAAGAAGTTACAGAGGATCCACCAAAATTCTGAAAGGAAGGGAAGAAAAGAAACAGATACCTCAATCAGTATTTAAACAGATCACCTTTGGCACCAGACAGAAGTTCATACATGAGTGTTTCAGAAATTTAAGTAGGAAGAAAATTTCTCTGGAATATTTTGTTTGTTTTCAGGAAAACTCAAAAGGAAAGGGCTCTAAAGAACTTCTTACTGAGATTAAATTTTCTCTGAGACAGTACTGAGTCGGAAGAACCGTGTCCATCATATTCCTCTGATAGATTTCTGATTACATTTCAGGAATTTATTCAGACATGAAAGTTCTAAAGCATACAAAAAGACCTTTAGGGAGACATAGGCAGTGAGAAGGCTTGAAAAAGGAAATCTGGTTGAATAGGAAAAATGATTAAACTGTTCATCCAGCTGACAGTAGACCAGCAAAAATAGAAAGAACTGGTGATGAAAGTCAAGAAAGTTAGGGCAATGTTTCAGGTAGATCTCCAAGCTCCATTATGGCACAGTTGTAATTAAAGCATGTAAAAACAGCTGTAAGAACTGAAGATTAATCAGAAGTAGGTATCTATGGAGATACTCTAGTCAGGTGAAAGGAAGAAGTCATTGAACTGAGATATAATGACCTTTCCATAAACATCACCTAGATCTATTACAAAGTTAGTAAAATTATACAAAACTGAAGACAGGCAATTCCAATAATCTCATGGACTATTCAAGTTAAATTGGTCAACAATTGAAACATAAATTTGATAGCTTATTTTATCAAAGCAATAAGAAGAGAAGATGATTTTACAGCGCAAGTGAATGAGTAAGAGCCTCTTGCACTATTTCTTAATGCTTGTTCAGCTATTAATGCCAGTACTACATTAAGAAAATGCAGTCACTTAAAAGTGACAGCAAAAATGTGGACACATCACAGCGTTCATAAATCTCTTCCCTTCCTTCTGGCCTTCTTCCTTTCCCAGCCTGTGGGCAGGGATGGGGAGATTACATAAACCACTGTTCCACATGAGTAACTCCCACACAAGGCATCACCAGCATGGCTGCGAGATATAATGTCACTGCTGCTCATCTGCATCAGCACACATGGCTGTGCATGAATTCATGCACAAAAAGTGACAACAAAAGGCATGCTTATTTGGAAATTAGGAGGTGACTAGGGGGAGTTGCCTCAGGAACATTTTGTTAATAGTAACTTCACTGTTCTGCTTATTTATTGAAGGACTGCCCACAGCAGCCTGACAAATGCCAGGAACCCTGAAAGCCCTCTGAAAACATAGTCTTTATGACAAAATGCATCTAGACCGTGTCTTCTGAAATCACAGAATACAGACTATATTCAAGTAAACAAAACACATCAGAGAGGAGGGGGAGTGTGGAGAGAAGGAGCTTCAACTCTTTTTGGAAACAACTTTCCTTCTTCCCGCTGTCACCACCTTACAGGAAAAGCTGAGCTATGCCAACAGCAACATTATATCTACAACACTGGCTCATATTAAATGTGTATATTTGCATAAATAAACACTTTTCTCTCAAGCACCACCTTCCTTCAAGCCCTAAAACTTAGAACATAGAAAAAAGCATGAGCTGTCTTTTCCATCTGGTCTAAAGCCTGCATTCTATGAGCATGTAAAACCAGCAACACCCCTCTGTTCTATTTTTCTTAATACACACACAGACAGACAAAAAGCAAAAGATTCATCTTACCAACTAAAATGGGAAAAGCAAAGGGAGACAGAACAAAGATGGGAAATAGGGCAAGACAAAATTGGGAAATAAACATTTTACATGTTCTCAGTATAATAAAGTTCAGGCTCGGGAACAGTTATCTCCTGCTGGGTTGTTATGAGGATGCCACTGTGGAAACATGCTTTGACTTTGGAAGAAGTGAATCCTCTTCTGCCCCTTTCTGTCTGTAATTAACTGAGATAGAAAAGGACTAAAGAAGTCCAGGATTTGCTGACATCCCCCTCCGCGCGCACCCGCCCCCCCCCCAACAAAAGATAATCCCTTCAAATTACTGCTAGTTACTAATAAGAA